GCGCGCGGCGACGTCGCCCTCGCCCGCGCGCGCAGGGGCGCCGCCGCGGACGCGGCGGTACGCGTTGATCAGCGCGGAGCCGCAGAAGCTGTTTGCGCCGACGCTGGCGCCGTCCATCAGCGCCCGCAGGCCCTCCACCACGGCGAGCGCGAGCCCGCGCGCGCCGGCCGCGCGCGCCGCGGCGGAGAGCAGCGCGGAGAAGGTGAACGCATCGGGCGCGAGGGCCGGGGCGCGGGAGGAGAGCTCGGAGCGGTACGCACGCAGGGCGCCGGCAAAGTCGCCTGAGAGCGCGTACACGCTCAGCAGCGCGTTGACAATCTCAATGCTCAGCACGTCCGCCGCCTCTGCCTCCGCCGCCGCGGCGTCGTCGGCGGCTGCAGCTGCGGCCGCCCGCCGCCGCCCGGCGGCGTAGCGCCGCGCCTTTGCGCCCGCCTGCCCCGCCCAGCCGCCCGTGCGCCGGCCGCCGGCCGCCTCCCCCTCTTCCGCGGCCGGCGCGGCCTCTCTGGCCCCCGCGGCCTCTCCGGCTGAGTCAGCGGCGAGCGCCGGCGGCGGCCGTGGCTCCCGGAGCCCTGTCAGCGCGTGCGAGTACATGGCTCGCGCGAGCGGCACGTCGCGAGCGCGGCCGGCTGCGGTAAGCATGTGGCACGTCAGCTTTGAATCTGGGGTGACGTCATCCTCCAGCATGTTCTCGAAGATCTGGAGGTTGGCAGGAAGGTGGCGGGAAGGTGGCGGGAAGGTGGCGGGAAGGTGGCGGGAAGGTGGGTTCGGGAGGCGCGTCGGGAGGATGACGGTGCGTGGGTCGCGCCTGCAAGGAATGGGCGCGAGAGCGGGCGGCCCGCGCGACGCAAAGCCCGGCGGCCGGACGCCCGCAACGCATGGAGGCCACGGGCCGCGGCGCGCCCACCGAGGCGGCCATCTCGTAGCGCCTGGATATGATGATGGCCCGCACGAGCGCCGCGTAGGTGTACTGGTCTGGCAGGTTGTGGGGGTCGGTCTCCAGGCGCATGAGGTTGTAGACAGCCAGGGCGTCATCGGCGCGGCCCGTGACGGCGCAGAGGTGGAGCACCTGGGCGGGTTGGGGGGAATGAGGGTGGAGGAGTGTGGGTTGAGAGTGAGCGCAAACGTGTGTGTGTCTTTGCGCACCCGGGTATGTGTGCAGATGTGTAATGTTGTGTTTCAAAGTTCATGCAATCGCACTTGTGTTTGGGGGTGCGGGAGGAAGAAAGCGGATTTGAGATGCAGGAAACCAGCTGAAGGTGTGCTGGAGTGCGCGCCGCGCCCCGCACGCCCCCGCGCCTGCGTGCCCTGCTCCCGAGCGCCCTGCGCCGCGCGCCCCGCCCCGCGCGCCCCGCCCCGCCCCACCGCGTTGTACGTGTATCTGTTGAACGTCACGCGCCGCCGCAGCATCCGCTCAAAGATCCTGAGCGCGCTGTCTGCGTCGCGCGCGAGCGCGCACGCCTTGATGATCGCGCTTGCGCCGACGGGCCCCACGTCCACGCCCGACGCCGTCAGCTGCTCCCACGCCGCCACGGCCTCGCCGCCACGGCCGACGGCGGCCAGCGAGGCAAAGACGGCCGCAAACGTGTGCTCGTTGCGGTCGGGGCGCGCGAGGGCGTACCTGGGGTCCGAGGTTGGGGGGTCGGGCAGGTGCGAGGTTAGGCGGGCGGCGCGGCCGCGAGGCACGGGGCAGGGGAAGGGCGGACGCGGCCGGCGGGCGGGGTGGCAGCGACACAGCCGCAGGGGCGGCGCCGTCCCGCGGTTCGCTTACCAAATGTACACGCCCGCACGGGACCACCGAGAGCCCCCCCTCCCCCCCATCCAAATCAAAAATGAGGCTCACTTTGCCAGCCGCCTAACCTCGTTCTCCAGCTTCCACTCCGCCAGCCGCCGCAGCGCCAGGTTTATGTACACCACGGCCTGGGAGTCCAGGAAGGCCGCGTCGATGGGGTTGCTGCCCGCCGCGTGCCACACCTGGCGGGCGGGGGGAGGGCGCGGCGGGGTTGGGCAGGGAATGAGACGCCCGAAGGGGGGGTGGGCGTACGCGCGAGGGGGGGAAAAAACGGGGCCCCGGGCAGGCGCGGGCAGACGGGAGGGCGGCGCGCATCCAAGTCCCTGATGCGTCGCCGGCTGCTGTCCTGGTCGCTGCTCAGACAACTCCCAATTGTTTGAGTTCAAGAGGGCTTCTGTGACCGCAGGAGACCGGGTCCAGGGCCGCCGCGCGCCCCCCCCCTCCACAAAACGCCCTCGGCCCCGTCCGCGTCGCCGCCGCGCGCACCTGCCGCGCCGCCACGGCGTGCTGGCTCCAGCGGTTCAGCAGCGCCAGCTCGCGCATCCGCTCCTCCTCGCTCGCCTCCAGCGCGCCGCGCGCCTCGGCGGCCACCAGCCTCGCCTCGAGCTCCTCCGCAGACAGCTCCTCGGGCGCGCCGGCCGCCAGCGACACGTCCGGCCCGGGCGGCTGCTGCTGCTGCTGCTGCTGCTGCTGCTGCTCCTGCTGCTGCTGAGTGTGGTGGTGATGCGTAACGCTGGCGTCCCCCTGCCCCTCCAGCTGCCCGTGGACCTGCGGCTCCGGCGCCCACAGGAAAGCCTCCTCCTCCTCTGCCAGCAATTTGGATGCCGCCTCATCGTCAACAATAACATGAGCCGCCTCGGCATGCTGCTGCGCCCCCTCTTGCTCCCCCTGCTCCTTAACTTTCTGCTCCTGCTCCTGCTGTTCCTGCTGCCGATCCTGCTGCTCCTCCTGCAGCTCCTCATGCTGCTCCTTTTGCTGCTGATCCTGCTGCTGATCCTGCTGCTCCAACCCCGCCTCCTGCTGCTGCTGCTGCTGCTGCTGGGCACCCTCAACGTGTTGTGCAGCCGGCAGCTGTGAATGCAGGTGCGCCCCCTCTCCAAGCACCGCCTCTGCCTCCACCTCAGCGTTGTGCACCAA